TAATCCTTTTTTTTCTAGCTGAATGCTGTCATCACCTTTCTTATCCTAATTGTCTTCTCAGTGGTTGAGAAAGACACCATCCTATCTACCACTTTGCTTTTATCATGCCCCAGGTGGGTTTGGAAAAACTTTCTTGTTACTACCTCTTTTTTTTTTTTTTAACTGCATCTTCTAATTTAACCATTTCTGAAGGCCAGCGTGCAATTTCCCCCCATTGTTTAGCTTCATGACAAGGCAGTAAACTGTATATGTGTAGAAACATTTTTTTCATGTTTATACAGCACCTACACAAGGGATTGTGGATCCAAAATGCAGGTTGAGAGTGTTAACCCACTGTAAGAAGTGCTTTACCTGGAGCAATCTAATAACCAGTTCACCAGAACGGTCACCCTAAAAGCATTCTGAACTTCTAGGACAGCAGCATCTGTGGTCCATGTTCCCTACCATCTTTTCTCTAGGGGAAATGAGTGTTGAGTTTCATATTGCTGTTGTACCCCTTTGGCTCCAAAGCAGGGACAAACCAGTAATTCCTGGGCATTAATGTGCCTTCTGCTCCGGGGGCAGCCTTATTCCAGGAAATATTGCAGCTGGAAATTGTGAAGGTGCTGATACAAAGGGGAAAAAAGAAATCTGGTACTGGTGCTTTTTTCCTTAAATATAGAGAGGAAAATGGGAGATTTGCTTTAACAACTGTGTATTTATGGCCTTTCTGAAGAAGATTAAGCCATACTGGTGGGTTCATAAAAATAGCAGGCTGAAGTAATGTATGCTGAGGCTGTAAAATATTTTTTTTTAAATTAGTAGTTAAAAAAATCCAGTCCTGATAACAGCACTGTAAGTGCAGAAAGTTACTTTTGTGTCAGATTTCAGTGGAAGAGATGGCTGTAAGTGACACCAAGGGTTTATTTCAATCATGTGCACCTCGGTAAATGTGGCTAGTCGTTTTCTCCCTGGGTAGCAGCACTAAAAATTAGACAGATGGGGGGAAATAGATGGGAAGTTTAAGATAGCAATTTTGTTGCATTTTAAAGTGTGCAATTGGTTTTAATTGGGGTTATTTACAGTTAATATCTGCTGTAAACCTGTCC